CACACACACACACACACACACACACACACACACACACACACACACACTGCAGGGCGGCTCATCACTGTCCTGTTGGCAGACAGACGTCAGTGTGAGATGTGAAGCTCCTGAAGTGTTATTGATCTGTGGACATGATTACTTATTGACGGGGACACACACCGGTTTTGGTTTTTATGTGTGTGTGTGTGTTTCAGCAGGGTGATCACAGAGGAATACAAAGTTCCTGACAGGATGGTGGGCTTCAGTGAGTACCACGCGTCCTCCAGCTTCATCTTCCATCAGTTTTAGCTCTTAGCTGTGAAGAGAAAATGCTGACGTGTCGTTCTCTGAATGTTTCCGTCCAGTCATTGGCCGAGGAGGAGAACAGATCACCAGGATCCAGAACGAGTCGGGCTGCAAGATCCAGATTGCTGCTGGTGAGTCTGTAACTCCTGGAGAGGAACCTTTAAGGACCTCCAGCTGGACGGTTTCTTCTGGAGTGACCCCGGTTGTATAAACTGTGTTCCTGCAGACAGTGGAGGCCTGATGGAGCGGCCATGTTCGCTGACAGGAACTCCAGAGTGCATCGAGTGAGTTTCACCTTTTATTCAGTGGACTTTAAAAACCAGACGCTAACAAGTGATGGATTCTGTTCTTTAGTATCCTCACATTCCTGACGAGGTTTAAGACCAGAAATAAACCCAATAATTGTCCGATGGACTTTAATCGAGCATTCAAAACAATCCGCAGTCACGTCTGAGCAAACTTCTTTAGCAAGTGAGACGATGGACGTGCAGCGGCTACTACGACAGCTTCATGTGGTCAACTAACAGTTTTTAACAACACAACTCCCTCCAAGCCTTTTATTGTTTATTTTAAAATAAGCTGCTGTTGTTTTTTATTAATCTTCAGAAGGTACGAAAAAATCAGTCACCATAACTTTACCATATTTTATTTTATTCTGTGTGTCTATATATATATGTACATATATATACGTATATGTATATATATATGTATATATATATTTGTATGTATATATATATATGTATATATATATTTGTATGTATATATATATGTATATATATATTTGTGTATATATATATATGTATATATATATTTGTGTATATATATATATATATATATATACACGTGTATATATACAGACACACACACACATAAAGTAGTCCCTCGCTACTTCGCAGTTCGTTTATTGCTGATTTTCAAAGTAAGAGTGGACATGACACAATTGTCTGATTGATGGATGAGCCATGAGTTGTTTATTTAAAATAAATTATTTTAAATGATTTTACACCATGAGTTCAGCCCACAAGTGAAAGGCGAAGTTCCCTCCTGCAGCTGATCAGCTGATCTCCTTCTCTGCCACGCCCACATTTCTCCTGCATCATCTGGTTGAAGGGTTAACCCTTTACTGTCCAGATGCACAGATCGACTTTTGTCTTCCAATTTAAAATTCAAAGTATGTCTCATGGTAAAAATCATCGTAATCACAAAATATAAAAGTGTTAAAAGTTATTTTTAATTATTTTAGAACTTTGTTCAGTTGTTTCAGTGTCATTGATCAAGAAGAACATTTGTGCTGCAGAGCTGATGCTGCGTGACATCTTGTCGTGTCCTGCTGCACTTCTCTTCTCTATAATTTAAATACTTTACAGGGTTTCCTCTGGGATTTATTTTAACCGTGGTGGTGGGCTGCCTGCGGGGGTGGGTGGGGTCATTGTTGAACACGACGCCGGTAATACGACTGTAGAGCAACAGCATGATTTTAATTATTTCAGACTGAATGTTTGTGAACAACATTGAATATATTGACACTGTACACGTGAAAGGACAGCTTCAGTTGTCTTCCGGCACAGTGTGCAGCCTGCCTGAGACATTTCATCCTTCTAGGTTTCTTTAAAAGGAGCTCTAATGCCCTGTTGTATGGGGGCTCGGTGTGAGGGGCCCATCGATGCTGAGTAGCACGTTGCTGCCTCATGGTCCCCTGCAGCCTGTCCCTCAGCTCTGTCTTCACCTACACATGAAAACAATTAGAAGTTTAGGAAACGAGAGAAAGCCAACCATCTTTGACTGACTTACTGTTCCTATGAACCCTGTCTCTCTCAGTTCACAGATGATACGTGCACTGTTGATGCAGTGGCTGGGTCAGGCATGAGTAAAACTGTCCCCGTTCATCAGTTTGGGATGTTCGTTTCATCTTCATGTTGAACTGGTCCATATCTGAAGCACATCATGTAGTGTCACTGATCAGGTTTCAATCATCTCCTGTAGAATTCCCCTTGTGTTTAATTCTCAGCTTGACTGGTGGGGGACAGCCACGAGTAGAACCTGGTCATTTCAGTCCAGTTTGGGTCCCAGACAGATTCTCTGTGCTGACTTTGTTCTTCCCTCTTCTGCCTCACCTCGTGCACTTGTGCAGGGAGATGCACCTCCTGCTCTGCCTCTCCTCCCTCCACTACGTCAGCCTGTGTGCTTGTCTAATGTAACTGGGAACTGTAACTGGGAACTGTTAAATCTGTTACAATCACCAACATCATGCAAGGAACATCGGGAATATTTAAATGTTTTTAAATATTACACGTGTCACGGTACAGATCACTATTGTTTCTATATTACTCAGAACTTCAGGTCATACCTGCAAACTCAGAAGGGATGAAGAAGGTGACAAACCTAGACCACCCCTCCCCCCAAAAAATAGATAAATAAATTGTGATTTTTAACATGTAAGTTAAACATTCTGGTACTCTCTAAGAAGAAGACAACAAAGTCCATGCTCAATAATCCAGGTATACAATCCAACATTTTTCACTCAGGTCATCTGGACAGTTTCTTTTTTTTTTGTGCTGAAACGTTTCACCTTCCATCCAGAAGGCTTCGTCAGTCAAGGAAACACAAAATAATGTGTTTAATGTGTGTGTGAGAGGGACAAAGTAAGTGACAGAAGACAACATCTCATGTTAACACGCCGGTTGAAGGCGGACATCTTCTGCTAAAGTCTCTGTACAGAAACTGGTCTGGACCAGAACTTCTGATCCACTCAAGATAATAAAACAGAACTTACACACACACATGCATCATCACCACATGGTGTCACATACACTTTTCCTCACCCCTGCTTCAAGGTCAAGGTCACAAATCAAGGTCAGATGTTGTATTCAGTCTTTGCTGTATAATAGTGTGTCGTCGGCGTATAATGTGCACGATGCTCTACTTTTCTAAATAAAGTGTTGATGTTAATGTTTACCAATCCTGGGTCCGTTTCCAGGCAGGCGAAGCGGCTGCTGGTCCAGATTGTGGAGCGGTGTAGAAACGGTCCGGGTTTCCACGGTGACGGGGAGGGCGGGACCTCGGTGCAGGAGATGCTGATCCCGGCCAGCAAAGTGGGACTGGTGATCGGCCGAGGAGGCGACACCATCAAACAGCTGCAGGTAAAACGTCCAGCACCGAGAGGGTTCAGGACGTTCGGATCGTGGTTCTACTCTTAGACAGGATAGTCATCCAGGTGGTTGCAGGTTTTAACAGAACCGGTCCAGTCTCAGGTTGTGGGACTGTTTCCTACCCTCCTCTCTTGTTTTGGTACAACGTCTTAATAAAAGGAGCGTGAAGCCCAGACCTGATCTGGAAACACCGGCCAGTGGAAGGTTCTGGGTCAGATAAGTGAGGTGGGGTTCTAGATGAGATGTTCTCCGGTCAGATAAGGTTTGTTCAGGTAGAACTCATCGGTACCTTTAACTCCTGCTCGGTGTGTTTGGTTCTGTTTTCTGTCAGGAGCGAGCCGGGGTGAAGATGATGATGATCCAGGACGGCCCGATGCCAACGGGAGCCGACAAACCTCTCCGCATCTCTGGAGACCCCTACAAAGTCCAGGTACCGATGGTTTCACTGGCTCGGTTCTCCACAGAACGTTGAGGAACATTTGTTAATGTGACGAGTTGGAAACCTTTGATTGGGCTGAGTTTTACCCCTTCGTGGAACGTCTGGATTGGCGGTTCTAGATCACGTGAAAAAGATCCTCAGGTGTCGTCCTAGAACAAGTTGCACATTCTAGATAAGTTGTCATTTAGAACGTTCCTGGCCAGTTGAGCTCATGTGAAATGTTCTACAACAAGGAGGAGAACTCACTTTGGATGAAAGCTTTAGACCTTTCAGAACAGTCTGGACTGTTCTAGGTTGAATGAAAGAAGACGTTCTAGATCATTTCAATTCAAATGCAAGTTTCTAGATAATGGAAGCGTTCAGATCAGGTTAAAGGTTCTTCTGTGAGGTTGTAAGTTCTGGATCAGACGAAGGTTTTATGTGAGGTAGAACAAAAATGTTCTAACTTCAGTTTAATGTTCTAGATCAGAAAACTCTAGATGTGATGAGAAATAGATTTTATTTTGAAGGACCCGTAGATCCTGTTGAGTTCCACAATAAAGTGATTCAGCCTCAAAGGTGCTGTTAACCTCAAAGATCTTCAGTTAAAAGGTTCTAGATCCAACCACAGGTTCTTTGCAAGGTGGACGTTCTAAAATGTTTAAGAAGAACCTTGATTGGTTGGAACGCTCTGCCGTAAATTATTTTATGTTAAAAATGAAAGAAACGTGTTAAAGGCTGAAGTTTAGTTTTAGGTTCTTGCTGTTGTAGAACTTTAAAGTGGTTAAAGATGTTAGAACTCTTGTCTGAGGTTCCAAGTGAAATCATGAAAAACGGTTTCTTATCAGCCTAAAGTCTGAGATTAGGGGGTTCTGGCTCCTGGTCTCAGGTTCCTTATCAAACCAAAGGTTCCACCTAAAGCAGGAAGTTCTCAGGTGAAGACAGTCAGGTGTGGTTCTTACAGCAACAGTGGAGAACCAAAGATCTGACGATCTGAGTTTGTTTGTTTGTCCTGGTCCAGGCAGCCAGGGAGCTGGTGCTGGAGGTGATCCGGGAGAAGGACGGAGACTTCCGGTCCGGACGCAGCGACTTCGGAGGCCGACTGGGCGGAGCCAACCTGGACGTGAGGAGCTCGCCGACAAACGCACGGCGCATTTTCAGCACGTCAGAACCGCTCATCCAGGTCCGGTCTGTTTCAGGTCGCCGTCCCCAGGTTCGCCGTGGGCATCGTGATCGGCCGAAACGGAGAGATGATCAAGAAGATTCAGAATGACGCCGGAGTCCGGATCCAGTTTAAAGCAGGTCTGTGAACCGGTTTACCTGAACTGAACAACCTTAACTAAAACCAGCCAAGAATGAGCAAAACCAGCCAAGAATAGCTAAAACCAGCCAAGAATAGCTAAAACCA